TATACATATCGGTCGCCTAACATCAAACAAATATTTTATGATTCTAGAAAAACATCAAACTCAGAATCATGAGTCTATCTGGTGAAAAGTTAAACGAAACACTTACCAGAGGACTAACGCACAGTGACAGACGTCACCGGTCGCTGGCGACCTGGCGCACAACAAAACGACACGTTCCAGAGAACAGCACAGAGAGGACCGTGCGGAAACGCGAAGTCCACACGAACCCAGGACGGTGCGGAGGCCAAAACTTTCGGGGCCAGGGCGACATGGTCGTGGGAGGAGCAGCACCGGCGGCAATCGTCGATCGGTCGCGGTGCCGGACACGCGCGACAATCGTCCGCCGGAGCTTGACGAACGACACGACACGGACCCGCGCGCGACGTACACCCGACGGGGTAACGTATGTGTGTGGCTCACCTTCCGAAACAGATGGATTTACTTTTTGCCGACATCAAATCGAACGACGAGCACGGAGGTCTCGGCCGACGGCGCTGTTGACGACTACTGATACTGATCACTGGCACGGCGAGTCCGGGCCCGGCGGCGGCAAGTGAGACGGCAGCAGAATTCGAGGGAGACGCCGCCGTCGCGCGCGTTCGTGGCCGTCGGGTCGTCGAGGACGGTCGCGCCGCCAGTACAAGTAGCACGACAGTGAAAGACCAGCGAGCACGGACGCGCGTGTACGCGAGACCAGGCGCGTGAGCGTGTTTGCGTGTACTGCTCGTGCACGGGCGCGCGCGCCGGCGCGTGTGTGTGCGCGTACGCCGTTTGAGAGGTTATTGATTGTTCATGTCGCTGGCGGAACGAGGAAAATTGTGACCTACGTCGTCGCGCGCGATCCTCGTGGGGTCGGTAGCGCAGCGGCGGCGGCTGCTGGTTGGACGCGCGAGCGTCGACACTCGTCGCACGCTCAATGTCGTGCCGACGTACGCGCGTGCTGCGCAGGTGCCCTGTCGGGCGCGCGACGGACGGCAGCGCGCGCGTCCGGCGACGGGTCCGCGACGCTGTGGAAATCGATCTGATGATGGGCGGTGGGGTAGACCACGCCTGCAGGGATAGTCGGGGCGCTCGTACGTTGTTATTTATCACGGTCGTTCTGCGCGCACGAGGCGAAGAGGGCCAACGCCGCTTGTATTATGACTAATGATAATACTTTTAACCACCGTTTAGTATATTTCACAGAATAAATGAAATTGTTATGATTTCATAATTTATTTTGTGACGTTATACTAAACGGAGCAATACGTAACTGAACAAGTACAACAGCGTATCGGTTCTCTTTTGGTACGTCTTACCATTCAAAATTTGATCACGGACGACATATCATGTATGTCTAGTGAGAATGTACTTTAATGCTGTTACTTCTGACACATTTTATGTGTACCGGAGTGTTTTTGACTGTTTTGTACTTATTTACAATTTAAGGTGTCATCGATCATTATTTTTTATCGATAGCACACCAATTTTCAATATCTTTTCACATGTCCAACAATTTATCGGTGACTATTATCAAAAGTTATTCAGTATTTTGTTGTGGTTGCATAATTATTCGCAAAGATAATATTTAATATTAGGTATAATTATTTTGTAGACCAATATAATCTTTCATTTTTAATTTATTTCTTAATGCTTTTGTGCTCATGTTATAAGCAATATGTTTGTGTGATCATTTAACCATATTGAATATTTCATAATTCAGTAATTAACTATCTAGCCCATTACAATTATTGTACATTATACATGTTATCATAACAATTAATAGGTGTAATTTATATTCTACATAATTAAAAATAGCTAGTATTATACCAATTTTATTGTTTAAACAATCTGTATAATTTGATGAATAAAAGAATTATAAATATACATAGTTAATTGATATACATGCTTTTGTGGATTATTATTTATTGTTATAGCTACCTATGTCATGCATAGGAATTTAATTTTCTTCATGAAGCATTTCTGTTTTATCATGTTTCTCTTATAATGAATATAAAAAATACAGTTCAATGTTTAACTAAAAATAAAATCTAGACATAAAATTATAGTTTTGCCTATAAATGGCTATTATTCTTTAAATTTTTCATGTTATTTATTGTAAAATATACAGTTATTGTAAATATTAATAAAAATAAAAAAAAATAACGCTTATATAGTTAGAATAATTTATTGAAACTGTATTAAATAGTTGAAAAGTATTAAATTTTTTTTTGTGGTACCTATTTTTGCTAAATTATTAAATGTAGGTTTTAGATTTAGTTGTAGGTAGTTTATATGTATAATATAAATTAACATTGTTATTGAAATTAAATCAATACTACTGGTCCAGTATTGAAATATATTATTTACAATACTTATTTTGTACTCCAAACATGTACTTTAATGTATACAATATTAATATTTAAGTAAAAATATTGAAACACAATAGTGTCTATTGGGTTTGCCATATAAATGAATTACTAATTGATCTTTTCTTGAACTTCTTATGTTAGTTGTTAGTTGCCATAACAACTACAATGTAGCCAAATTGCATATGTTTCTAATAATGGCTGTTTTTGTAAGAAAAAGAAATTTTAACATCCACCCAGTATTGTTTACAAATATTTTAAATGATATTTACTTAACTCCAGTAAAATCCATAGGTAGTTATTATAGGTATTTTTCAGAACATTATAATAATTTGTTATTCAAGTGTTTACAATAGTTGAATATTTTGTAAGCTTAAATATATGTATATATTTTTTGTTTTGTTTTAGATTTCAGAAACGGTGGGACCCGTATTTTGAAAAGCTATGATAGGCTTGAAACTGGACAATGATGATTTATCAAAGATTTTCCCTAAGTGTCGCCCATCTACTGTACGATCTACAGACTTAAATTTAAATCCCCTCTGTGACGACGACACAGACCATGACATGGATTTGACTCAGTCAAATGAACGGCAAAGAAATAGGTACTAATTATGAATACATAATAAGTTTAATAGATTTTCTGTTTGATATTGAAAAATGTCCAGTTTAATACATTTTTCAATTATTTCCTGGGGTATTGTCTTAAATGGGTGATGCTATGCTTTAATTTTAAGGTTAATTAAAAATAATCCTACCTTATTCAATAGGTGTGATAACATACGTGGAAATGGTACTAGAAAACGTAGCATCCGTGGAATAAGAAAATTTCGAACTCGTAGAAGAAGTGATAGTGATGCTAGTCAAGATTCATCATTAGAAACTAGTATTGAAGACGATGAGGAAGAAATTAATGAAAACATGGATGAAGATGAAGATGATGAATCTGATATAAAAAATGCATCCAGTGAATCTGGAGGCATGTGTAATGTTGATATTGGAGCTACTAATCGAACAAGAAACTCAAATAAAATCAATTCAACATCTCATCAATCTACATATAAATTGAGAGATTCAAGGTTTGTTAATATTATTTTAGTAAATTATCTGAGAAAGTTGAACTTAAAAGTGATTTGAACTATATTTAATTATATTTGTGGTTAACATACAGAATAATAGAAATAGCTGGAGGTCGAGAAGTCTATAGTCAAAGCCGAAGTAAACCTGGTCGAAAAACTCGTCAATTACCTTTGCCTACAGAAGTTGATTGGATCAAATCACCTGGTCGGGTTTGGGAACTTCGCAATAGGTATGTTAAATAATTTAATTTAGTATTTTATTGGACAATTCTATAATTTTATAGTACCTAGTTTTATTTTTTATAATAAAATATTATTATTTTTTATTTTAAATTTAATATTAAATTGTATTCTGTAGAGGACTCGATGTTTCAAGTACTGAATCTTCACGGGACATTTCTGAAGCCGTATTTTCTACTGATGTAAAACCTATCAAACATCAACGACCATTATCCTTAGGTATGTAAATAAATATAAGAATAAAATGTATTTTATTTACTATTCATTTAGAATTAGATGATCCAGTTTTGTTTGATGATATACATAATGATATGTGGGATAAAGTTCAACATGATGCTTCAATTGGACATTATGGAATACATCATCATAAAAATACGTATCAAACTATTGATCCTTGTCAACACCATTTAAATTATAAAGTATGTATAGAGCTTTTCTTTAAATTTTAATGACAATAAATATTATTTTTTTTTATACTTCATATAGACTAGTCAAAATGGTGATATTAATATGATTGCAAATAGTAATCGATCAGAAATATCAAGCACTGAAAACACTGATGAATTAGTTAGGTCTCAATGTGAAATTCAGACTAATGATTTTAATGGATCACCAAAACAATACAGGGAGGAAGAACAATCAATGCCATCTTTATTATCATCTCCTACACTTTATATGCCTCGACCAGGATTTCCTCAAGTATATTTGTTGTATACATAGTATTAATATTATTGTGTTTATAATCTCAATAATTTTAATTTTTCTTAGAGAGTGATTCAAGATGATTCTAGGTCTTCCAGTCCATCTCCAACAATGAATTTCGATTATTTGTATGAATTTTCAGAAACTAGAAAAGTTTTAGAAGAATTCTTCAAATCTGGAGCTGAAAATCAAGATACTCAACAGTTGCAATTCCAGGTATATAATAATATTTTTTTTTATGATATAAATTATAATGTTTTTAACTCATGTTTATACTTAATTTTTATCAAAAAAGTTAAATTATTTTGTTGAATAGAGTGTTCACCAAATATAGTTACTACTATTTTATTTTAAAAATTTGATTCATTAATGTGAATAATGAATTCGCCTAAATTTATATTTTTAGAATTTTTAAATATAATATTTAATCTGATTGTTGGTTGCATATGTCCACGTTTTCAATTATAAACACATTAATAACTTTAACCTCATCCTTCTCTTATTGTTATACAATTATTTTAATAGTGTCTTGAAATATAGTATAATGTCTATGGTATAAATGGGAGGCCATACATGCTTGGTATTGAAATCATATTAACATATTTATTTTTATAAAATAAAAGTGTTATTCAGAAGGACTAGACACTTCTCTAAAAATGTATAGCATAAAATTAATACTTAACAGATTATTGTTTTTCAATCTTTTTTAAACATGACATTCTGTTTCTTCACAACATTTTCATGACATTCATCATAACCATGAAGACAAATTCTTCAATAAAGATCTTTCTTTTTAGGTTATTAATATTTTGCACCAAATTAGATAAACAAAATTTTACTTTATTATACATTAATATTAATTAACTTGTATTTTATTATAATATGATTCTTTATATTATTTTTTTGTTAATTAAAATTATTAAAAAAACAAACTTAAAAATTCGTGGTACACTGATTGAAAACTACTATCCTAGACTGTATAGTGTATAATAAGTTTCGTGGACCTCGTTCAATTAAAAACATTTTTGTGGACAGCATTTTGAACATTTTTTATTGTGTTTTTTTTTTTGTATATCATCAAAGCCGGATGTATTTAATAGTTATTAAGTTAGCAAATGCTGATGTTTAAAATTATATTATATTTTCTGAATTACCCTTTATTTTATAATTTTTAATAATTAGGATTTAACTGTATATTTTGTTATTAATTATTAATAATATATTCATGTGATAATTTATGTTTTAACTTAATACATTTCTTATCTAGGATTTGGAGTATGAATTGCGACGTAGAATACCGGTGTCTGAACAAGGTAATACATATGTTGGTATGCATTTATCAAATGAAGATATTCACAAAAATTCTCAGTTATCCCCACACAAACATGATTCGTCATCAGATGGATCTAGATGTTTAGCTGGAGTTCATCAAGTATGTTTGATTATTAAATGACGAAAGCTTATGAATAATATTTTTTATGATTAATATATTTTTAGAGCTGTGTTGGAAGGTATAGTCGTAATGTGACTTTATCACCTGAAGTAACAGACTGTGAAGATGCTGGTATGGGTAGTGATGGAGAATCATCATCTATGGTAGATGGTCAACACCTAATTCCATTATGTGGTGTAACATGTATCACCATGCCAGTCTTAGAAGATGGATTGTCTAGTGGTCATACTAGTGATACAGATAATAATAATCCAACTGTATGTAATTTATATTTTATGTTTTCAAAATTAATGAAATTTACTCTTTATTTACTCAGGTTATGTTAATGAAAAGACAAATTAGTGAGATTGAAAGAGAAATAATAGAACGTACAAATAGGGCCAGTAAATGTGATAGCATTGATGCAAATGCAAGTGAGGTACATTCCAATAGCCAAGAAACTGGAATTCAATTATTGGATTCACTAGGTTTGTTTTTCTAATAATCTCATAAATATACTATTATCTTAGTATTACCAAATCAAGTTTAACTTAAAAGTGGGGTTGCACATAATTTAAGGTATTGAAAATTAAATACTTATTTGATTATATAATAAATACAAAAAACAATTACTTTTCATTTAATTAGCCAAGACTATAATTTTATAATTTGAGATGGGTCAAAAATTAGTTTTAATAAACTCAAATTTAAGTTTTACCTCAAATTGTTTGAATTTGAATGTTAATTGAGTTTTTTTAAATTTCAAATTGTATACATTTTAATTATAACAAAATGTAAAATACAATAGTAATAAAACAGTGTATATACTTAGTAAAAATAATTTCTAGCTTGATTATGCTTGAACTATTCAAATTATTTGATATATTCGATAACTTAATTTTTTTATTGAATTTTGAACTGTTAAAGGGGTTTAATGATTTTAAGAATCTATCACTAATAATAATATAACACATACAATAATTATCAATTGTTTTTTAAAAAAAATGCCTTTCTCATAAAAACAAATTACTTAATTCAAAGTGTATGTTTAATTTTAGTGAGACCTGATGAAAGTAGAACACCTCCTCCACCAGCACCAACAGCACATCGTAGTGCCAATGAATCTGCCGATTTAGTTGAGGCTGCTATTCATGAAATAAGATCTAGTCTTAGACAAACAAAACCATTAAAAACTACTAATGTGGATGATGATATATCTCCAGGTTGTAGCCCTAGCAAAGATAGTACAAATTCAAATACTGCCAAAACTGAAGATTTACCTATTTGGGTACCAAGGTAAAATTATACTATATTATATTTTATCAATGATTTAAAATAAAAATTTTTAGTAGTATGAAATATTAATAAAGTTTACTTAAGGCATAAAGTAATTTATTTACAACTATACTTTTTTTTTTTTTTTTTATATATAAGGCATAGAGGTACTGGATCTGGACCTAGCGGCGATGAAGGTATTTATATACTTATTATTTTCTTCAGATTATTGTTATTAGTTTAACTTATACATGTTTAATTACTAGAAGAAGCTGATACAGACTTAGAAACTGATAGACTTTTAGGACAACAAAGAACTGATGACACTGGATTTTTTGATGAAAAAACTGTAAGTTTTTTAATAATTAATAAACTATTAATTTTATTTCCCTAACACTTTGATAACCCCTAGTGATTTGATAGTATTTACTCAAGTGGCGTATATTGTTTGAGCAATTGTGACATGTGTTTCTAACCCAGTCGGTCAATTACTTTAATTTTTTAATTTTAATTTTTGAAATATAAATAAGTATTTAAGTTACAAAAAACTTGAAAGAAAACAAATTAGTTTTGTATAAAATATCACCACAGGACTGGAAGAAGTCAAAAACACGGTCTTTGTTACCGTTTAATTTGACAACATCATCAAGCAATACGTCCACACATCCTACACCCGTAGAACCGGCTGCTATAATTGAAAAACCATTCATCGTAACCCAAACCCTTAATCCTGCAAAAAAGGTTTGCCTAAGTGCTTACATCTTCAATTTTAGACATTTTAATAGTTTATTGATTTAATTTGGTTCTCTGTTAAGACACTATTATTATTTTTTTTGTTATTTGCATAACACAGTTTTGATTTTGGCTTTTAGCTAGTATATGAATTTCTTACAACAGGTGATATTTCTATAGTCTGTAGAACACTTTTTTGCTGATTAAATAAAGTTGATTTTAAATTTCATTAATTTTTTAAAATATTTCTTCTTTTACAATCACTGTAACTAGTTAATTGTCTTAGAATTATGATACTAAATATTATCATTTATATTATTGTAACTGTTTAAATTCCTACACTTGTCTTATTAGTTACTAGTTGTTTTTTTATGTAATGAATTAATGTTAAAAATCATTTACATTGTTAAAAATATAACAAAAAGGTATTTAAAACATTCATTTTTCAGTTACTAGAAATTGTCTTAAATTTTACACTTTTAAATTTTATTAAATACCTATGATTTATATTTTAACTTATGTTAAATACTTTATTCTTTTCAGTTAAGTATATTACAAATTTATATGACAGAATGACAGATTTGTATTTTGATGTATGATTTTTTAAATTTAATTAGTTCAAAAAAAAAGAATATAGCAATATGAAATAGCTTAGAATTAATATTTAAATTTAATTTTGTTGGTTGGAAAATTCATATTTGCTTAATCATTTTGTTGATCTAATATGTTATTGTTTATAAACAAAGATAATGTATACTTAAATATAAATATTCATAGATAAGCTGATTTTATCATGGCTAGAAAAAGCATTTTAAAAATTGTAATTATGTCTCTATCAGTGGCGGCTGAGTCTTATAAATTTAAGTGAATCAAAATCAAATATTTTGGTAAATGAATTAGGAAATAATATGTTATCTACCTCTAATAACTTAAGTTATTTATTAAATTATTTAGTATAGGTATTATGTAATGTAAAAACAAAACACATATAAACATATACAAAAAAAATTCACTCTCTTTATTATATGAGCGATCTTCAGTTCATGTATAGGTTTGGCGCCACTGCTTGTTATACATTTGAAATATTTAACCCAAATTTCAATATATATATTTTAAATATAAATGAATTATTTTTATAAGTATTCTAAAATAAACAACTTGTATTTCAAATTAATATCATAAAGTCAATTCTATAATCACTTGTTGCTAGGATTTTTATTTTTATTGTATCTGCTTAATTCCATATGAATAAATGCTTCATATATGTTGTAATCCTGTAGTTATATATATATTATTATTTTTCTGTATTGAATGAAGTGTTCTTAAATTAAATTTATGTTGATTGTTTAATTTTCAAAGTAAAATTGTATAAGTTATTGATTTTAATGATGTATACACATTTTTTTCATAGGAGAAAGATGGAACTAAGAAGAAAGCTCGAAATAAAGAAGGTCAGTAAAATTGAAATAATTTAATAATTATTTAAATTAATTTTAATAACAATAAATAATTGTTAATCTATTATGCCGCATGGAAAATTGAGAAACTATTTTCAGCAGTATTCAATAATGATTTTGTCTCAATGCTTTTTTAGCTAGTTAACACTTAAAAGGCAATATAATATTATTTTAACAATAATCATGCTTAACTAAAACACTAACTTAACTCAAAGTTATAAATAATAATGCTTTTTACACTAGCTATCAGCTTGCTTGTCAGCAGCAAAGTACTTGAAGTTCATTAGTTAAAGGCTTAAAGCCTTTACAAATATTTTGTTTTATACAAAAATTATAATCACAGTCATTCTATAACCTTAATTATATAATAAATATTTTTAATATCTGAGTGAAACTAGATACAGTATATTAGTTATTCAGTTTATTATAAGTATGTTTTAACAGTTTTGTAGGTGGGGAAAATACTTAAAAGTTTTATCTCGTTTATTTATAAATTTAAAAATTTTGATTTCTAAAACTAGGACATAATGACATTTTTTTGTATAAAATATTATTGTATTTTTTAATTAAAGAATATTTTAAATAAAATATTCAATAAACAGTTTAAAATATTTCATTTTTATTTTTAATATAAGCAATTAAATAATAAAAAAGGATCTACAATTATACATAATACATAAAAATCCATTCAGAATCATTTTTAAATATTTAGTACAACATTGAAAATTTAGTCAAAATTATTAAAGTAAGACAGATTTCTAAAACACCCAATATTCCATCAGAACATTTTTATTTGTATGTAAATATATTATAATATGTATCTTAACAGCTTTGTTTTGTTTTTATTATTCCGTTAGGAATATCTCAACACCAAACAGGTATGCTTTGATAAGAATGAATAATTATTTTCTTATAATTTATAATTTTATCTGCACGGTATATATATCTTATATACATAATTATTATGACTAATATTAAATTAATTTCTTTGAACATTTTTATACTATCCAATCTTTATAAAGTTATGTCATTATTGATTTTTATATTTGAATTTTAAACACTACTTTGGTCAAATAATTATTCTATTTTTAATTTGAAGATCTTACTATTTCACTCTAAATATTTTTTTTTCTTGTTATTACACATCATACCATTTAGTTTACTGTGCAATTATATTTTGGTAGATTTGGATTTATCTAATTTATTTATTTTCCTCACTAGTTACTACTATGAGCGCATGCTAATATATATTATTTAAATTTTAATATTGTAAATGAATATAGTATATATTATAGATCTTAGATCTGTTTAGATGTGTTAAAAATAAAATTAACAATTGTTAATACTTAATACTATAAAGGAAATTAATAATTGTTATTCAATTTTTGAGACCTAGAATATGCAGTATATTTTTAAATTACTATTTATTTTATTTTTTTTTGTCTTATCATCCTAACACTAACAATATTGCTTTTTTTTTATTAACTGCACAACATGGAATTAACACAATATTGCACTTGATTGCACGGTAAGTCCAATGAAACACACAATTTTTATAATTAACATTAAACACTTGCTTTAAATATTTTATCGTTGTGAAATTGTCAGCGATTCAATTTTAATTATATACATGCAAAATATTAGAATAAAATAGTAATATCTAATTTTAAATTACAATTTTTCTAAAGTTCTTACATTTTGATATTATACTACTTTATTTTAAAAACCTTATAAGACTAGTGTTTGAAATTGTATGATTGTGAAATTAAATTTACAACTCTTAAAAAATACTTTAAGTATATGTATCTAAAATTTATTCTCATATATATTTTTAAATGTTTACTTGGTATTTAGTTATGATTCACGAACCTGCAGTATTAATTGAAGGTGTTTTATTCCGAGCTCGTTACTTGGGTTCTACGCAGTTGGCTTGTGAAGGACAACCGACAAAAAGTACAAGGATGATGCAAGCTGAAGAAGCAGTGTCTAGAATAAAAGTAATTTAATTAATAATATTTTGTTTTTAATCTTTTATGTATTCAATTTATCTTATTCTGCTTCCTTACATTTGGATTATAAATTAGGCTTTGGTAAGTTGGATGAGTAAAATAATTCATCTGTGTTATATTAATAATTAATAATGTTGAATTATAAGATGTTATATGTTTTTTAGGCTCCTGATGGCGAGACTCAACCAAGTACAGAAGTGGATCTTTTCATATCAACTGAAAAAATTATGGTTCTCAACACTGACTTGAAAGAAATCATGATGGACCATGCCCTTAGGACAATTTCTTATATAGCTGATATTGGTGAATTGGTTGTGTTAATGGCCCGAAGACGTTGTTTCCTTACACACCAACAATCTGAATCCACCACAGAAACTTCATTAGTGCCTTCGAGTGTAAATGGTGTTGACAAAACAGCCAATAACAGAACTCCAAAAATGATATGCCACGTTTTTGAAAGTGATGAAGTAAGATATCTCAAATATCTAAATTATTATTAAACCTAGAAGTTGATACTAGTAAAATTAACCTATCATTTTTTGACAGTGTTTTTTTGTATATTTACACAAGTGTAAATTGACTGACACATATCATGTTATATTATTGATATTATTAACTATGCAGTTTTCAAAAATATTTAAGATATAATTTTATCATTATTATTGTATTAAATAAGTATACTATTATTCTACTGAATAATTATATAATTTTAACGGTATATGTGAAAACATTCAGATTCTGTATATATAGATTATATGTACATTTGAAAATATTCAATACATATTAATACATTTCTTTGTTTATATCTATATAGACATTTTGAATTTACTACTATTAATTTTCAATAATTATTTACAATGATAAATTGAGTTGTTGAACATGTTATTTTAATAGGTACATATTAAATTCTATTTCAATTGTTATCTTTATTATGTATAGGCACAATTTATTGCCCAATCTATTGGTCAGGCCTTTCAAGTGGCATACATGGAATTCTTAAAAGCAAATGGTATAGAGGACCATAGTTTTGTTAAAGAAATGGACTATCAAGAAGTGTTAAATTCACAAGAAATATTTGGTGACGAATTACAAATGTTTGCAAAAAAAGAATTGCAAAAAGAAGTATGTTATAACTTTTTTGATTAATATTGATCAAACTGATTTTTTTGTTTTTCTGTCAGGTTGTAGTGCCAAAATCTAAAGGTGAAATACTCGGTGTTGTGATTGTGGAATCTGGTTGGGGTTCCATGTTACCTACGGTTGTGATAGCCAATCTGGCTCCAGCTGGAGCAGCCGCACGTTGTGGTCAGTTAAACATTGGTGATCAAATTATTGCTATTAATGGTGTATCACTAGTTGGCCTACCATTGTCTACCTGCCAAAATTATATCAAGGTACTGTTGAATTTATTTATCACACTGGCTTCTGACTTAATTTTAATAAACTCTTTTACTTTTAAAGAATTCCAAACCCCAAACAGTAATAAAATTAACTGTTGTCCCATGTGCACCTGTAGTCGAAGTGAAAATAAAAAGGCCAGATACAAAATATCAACTTGGTTTTAGTGTTCAAAACGGTGTGGTAAGTGATAAAAATGTTTTATCTTATTATTCGTATTTTATTGAAATTAAAATATTAAGAACATTTTATTTTGTTTTATATTATAGATATGCAGTTTACTTCGTGGTGGAATTGCAGAACGTGGTGGGGTACGAGTTGGCCATAGAATTATTGAAATAAACAATCAAAGTGTGGTAGCCGTGCCACATGAAAAAATCGTGAATCTATTGGCTACTTCAGTTGGAGAAGTAATTAAAATAATATATTATAGTTATTAAAAATTTAATATTTTAAGAAATTAATTATTACAGTGAATTAATTCTTGATTATATTAAAGGGTTTTGATAAACAATGTATTTTTTTTTAATATAAATATAAATTAACATTTTTTTGAAATGAATCACTTTGAAAATATCATTGAAATAACTAATATTATAATTATAAGTATATTTTATGAAAATATATAAAATAATAATTTCAATGTTGATTGAATATATTGTGTAATGTTTTTATTTTACAGATTTTGATGAAAACAATGCCTACATCCATGTTTCGTTTACTGACTGGTCAAGAGACACCTGTATTCATCTAGTCTTAAAACATGAATAGTCTATATAATGAATGTAAAAATAATTTGCCATTATAAGTTTAATTTAAACCTCAAGAGGAAAAGTTTATTTGTGAGATGTTGCAGTATTACTTAACAAAGTATGATGTACACATTAGGTATTGTATATCTCTGAATAATTGATATAATGCCTGATCAGTTTGTGGATTAGTAAAGAGGGTTTTTGCACAATTTCACATGTATCTTCTCCCGTTTCCTTTTTAATCATAATATTATCAAAGATTGAAAAAAAATAAAGAATTAAATATGGAAACAACAATTTTCCAAACATTATTTAATTTGATTTTTCAACTTATGTTTCTGTTATTATTTTGAGCATTTTGATATTCAAAAACTCTAAATAATAAAAGAAAACATCTACATGATGATGATTTTAACATATGTTACATACACATTTAAAACACAATTTATCAAATATTGCCATATCACAAAAAATATTATATTATTGTACTATACATTGTTTTTCTAAGTCTAATCAATCTAATTAAGGCCCTAATTTTTATTTTTTCATACATTATGTTTGTTTTTTTTATATATATTTTTATTTGGTATTTTTTATTATTATTTTTTTAATGTTGTTATTGTTATTTTATTTTTATTTGTGATAATTATCTTATTGCTAATGTAAATGACATTGCTGTAGCATTGTATTAATTTATACTTTGATTAACAACATTGTAAGCACAACAGCATTGCCGTCATTTGAACAACTCAAATTTATGTATCATACATAAAATGTGTCTATCGGGATGCATTAGCTATGACAATTCTAATTCCTAATTATTCTAGTCATTGTCATGAATGAACATGTTATGATGTAATTTTTAATCCTAATATTTATTGTGGTCATTAGACTTAAATATTATGTATTATAATAAAAATATAATAAATATTTAAAATATATATATATTTATTATATCTATATATAATAATTTATTAATGTGTATAATGTTTTAAAAATGTGTTTTTACCAGTTTAAATCTAAAATATTTATATACATTTTAGGTTTGATGGTTAATTTGTCATTTTTTTAGTTTTTTAATTTTGCAGACATTCAAGTATATAAAGTTAACAATATATAATTATTGAAAAAAGTATCTAGTCTTACTTCGGGAATGCTGTAAAAAATAAATATCATGAGGTATTGTTATTTTAAATGTATATATTAAATAATATTAACAAGCCATTGACTTGTGCATTGTGTAATCTTTAGGCAGAAAGGTCTTGAGAATAATTGAACTTTAAAAATAGAAAATTCATAAAAAATTAAATTGTAAATTGTTATTTGTTTGGTACAACATAATTAATTAAATTTTAAAACTTTAAAATTATACTCATAAAAAATACTATTAAAGGTGAGCAAAGGCGGACAAGTTATTGAAAATAATTTAGAAGTTAGCTGTTAACAAATTATAAATTTGACTCGATAAGTTAAAATTTAATACAGAAAAAAATATTAACTACTCAGTTTAAAAAAAGTTCATCTATTTTTTAAAATTAGTATGTAAATCACATAAAGAATGACCATGTCTTTTTAATTTACTGAATTGTAAAAAAAAACAATTTTATTGAACTTTTATCATAATGTACATAGTATAGTGTAAATACCTTTTTACATTACATGATATTTTATTAATTAATTTAAACTATACACATCTCAAATTAATTATTTAACAAATATTATTATTTTTAAATTATATAGCAATTGAAGATCATATAACATTAAAACATTATAATTTTTATTAAAAAAATTTTTATATCAACTGTAAAAAGCTAAGTTATTTCAGTTGTCAATTAAACTCCTTATGTTCATAAGTTGATTAGAAAATAATACTAGTTAAATTAAAGTTGTATAAAAAAAAAATTAACTTTTTAACTAGTTAATACCCCCCTTTGAATTAGCATATCATATAATTTTGTAGCAGAGGGGTTATGCTTCTGACAATATGTAATTACATTTTTTTCACAGCTGTGTAAACGTCAATTGCAACTATTTCAAATTGATTTTAGATTTATTATATTTGGCTAATTGTGATTAGATATAAAAATAAGAATATTTGTACTTAGTAATTTATTTAAATTAAATCACCAATTATTGAATAATAAGTCTAAATCATAGATTATGAGCAGAGCAAAGAATACAGTACTTACATTTTTTTTTGTCATAATTTTATTCAATCCTTATTTCTAGTAATTGAAAATAAAAATTAATGACTAAAATGCTCAGTAAAAAAAAAAAAGGATATGTCCTATGAACTACAGTTCATGTTCATTTTTATTTTATTAAAAAGTAATTAAATAATTTCCCGTTCCTAAGTTATTTTAAAATGTACGAAAGTAAAATAGTAAATTTAAATAATACATACCTAAACGATTAAATGGTTTCTTCCAGCCACTAATACTGTAAACAATAAATTTAAAGTAACTGACATGAAATTTTGTAAACAATGTCAATATTATTGTATGTTGTCTATATCGGTTAAATTTCATTGCTCATTACATTGACAACATTTCTATAGAGAAACTATTGAAACTTTTTTTATTAATTTAAAAAATGAACTAAATTCCAATACATTTCTTCATATAAAAAAGGAATAAAATCATTTGAATTAATTCCCTAGCACATACCTGAGAAATAGTCTTCATTTAGAATTAATATTAGTTAGGTATCCTAATCTCATATAACACCAGTCTTGAGGTGCCATAAAAGAACATGTAGAATCACCATGTTCTCTCATTGGATATAGACAGAAATCGCCTTCAACACTTCATTCTTTAAATATGGAACATATGTATAAGTGATTATTTAAAAGTTTAATTCTTTTACAATGGGTTTATTTTAATAACTATAAAGTCTATTTTAGTCCATGTTAATATTTGATAAATGAGTTTATTTTATTTCTTAAAGTTTGAATTTAAGAATCATGCATGATGAGTTTTCTTTATTATTTTTTTCTTATACTTTACACATATAATTTTTTTTTTTTTTTTTAAATGATCATGTTTTAATTGTCTAAAATATGTTTTAAGTATACAATAATAATTATGGTACAAACAAAATGTAAACATGTTCACTGACAAGATTTTAACTCATATAAAGTTCACATAAAATATTCAAGACAGGTATTGTAAATTATAAATTAATTGTAATTTTAAAACCACAAGGTATCACAAATATATTTTTAATTAGAATAATTATTTAGACTCAAACAAAGTGAAGTGGATGTCATTATTTCTTGTAGGCTTAAATCATAATGAATAACAAGGTATCGTTCAGCAAAATCAATGATATAAAAATTGCGTCTTACAATCTAAAACCAATTATTCATACATTCTAACAATAAAATAATTTTACTGATATCCTCTTAAAATGATAAGACTATTAGAGTTGCTTAGTCATTGAAGTTAATAAAGATTTAGTACATCCAATTTATCAATTTTGTTTTTAAAAAATGAGCAAATGTAAGGTTAATGAAAAAAAATATATACTTGAAGGACAAACAAAAATATATTTATAACGCTAAAAAAAAAAACCAGTGTTTAGGATAGTGATTTAAGCATTTCATGGGTGCATAATAGTTTACTCAAATGCTAAGTAAGTCTTAAATAAAATTTTTTATTCACACAAGAATGATAAATTTCAGCAATATAATAATAATAATCATAAAAAAAAAAATTGAAAAGTAAAAGATTATGAACAAGTTTAAATTAAGATATAACTGATGAAAAGCATTACAACATTAAAATGAAAATACATGTTTTACATATATATATATATAAGTATATTACTAGTATTCACTGATGACTTAACAGTTCTATATTTCATTCAGTAGAATAGGCTAGTAAGACATCCTACCCTTTTAAGTTATCATTGTGATTACATACCAAAGGCATAATAATACAATTTGAGGGAACAACAATATGTTAACAATTATATTCCATCGTTACCATTTTCTATAATTCTTAAATTTCCATTAGTTAAAAGACAACTGTTGGAAAAAAATATATAAAGTATATTGCTCGATTTAGAATGGTTTTCATTCAGAATATTTTATATTATTATAATTATTAACTTTTAACTTTATTTTTATACTCCTCACTTAAAGCGTACTCTTCAGTTTTCTGTGGCATACAAGCGTGTCCATTCTTTAGCGTTGCGTATGGCTTCGATTTCATTGACTTTCCATTGTTCAGCTACATCATTTGCTAACGGATCGTCTGGATTGGGTGCGCTCAACAACGCTTGTATGGACAAAAGAACGGTACGTATCTGTAATGCTGGTGACCATTTGTCCTTAAGTATGTCCAAACATATTCTTCCAAGTCTATCAATATTTGGATGATAAATTTTAGTGATGAAACGGACTTTTGGCGCTGACATTGGATAGTCTTCGGGCAAAAATAGTTCCAACTTGAATAGGCCCCCTTCAAATGGAGAGTCTTCGGGTCCTGTGACTTTGACATGAAAATACCTGTGACATCAAAGAGAAAATATAAATTATTCAATTACTAACATATTATCGAGATACATTTCGTTCATATCGTAGGAGAATTTGTCAGAAAAATAAAAAAATAACGCGCGCGTACGGTCACACAAACATGATAATAGCACATAAACAAATGTTTAATACATAACGCATGAAAAACGCGTCTCACCTGGCATTGCCTTCGTCCGGCTTGGCACTAATGCCGGGCACGGGTTCCTGCATCAGACGTTGGGTCTCCTTGAGTATTCTCCGCGGTAACACAGACATAGTAATATTGCGCTAAAATAGGAGTGATGACCAAATGAACGCCGAGTATGTACCGCACTGTAACCGGACAAAATGTGGAATTGGCGAACGCCGATTTGTTATTGCAGTGCACTGGTTAACTTTTGTGCTTCTGTATAACAGTGAAATATTATTTTCTTCTCTTACCGGTTCCGATGTGTGTGCGTATGTGCTATGACGTGTGTTCGTTGTTTTTAAATAGTAGTTTAAAATTATTATTATCAATAACGTCGCGCGCGTTGGTCGGTGTTAGACGAGTAGACGACTACAAAAGTACAGACGTAGTACCTGCAATAATGCACTATAATCGACTATAGCCTGTACGTCTAGACTGGTGGTTGCTATTATTCACGAATAATCACAATTCACCATTCAGTATACAACAGCAGCTATATAGAGAATATTATTATCACGAAATGAAAACATGTCGGCGGGGTTGATGGGATACCACGACGTACGTCCCGCATTCGAGTGTTCACTGTTCAATGTTTAATACCGCGTCGACGATGGTAATAATAGTAATAGTAATAAAATGACCATTTACTGTATTATAGCCATATAGGTATATAGTATATACTATATAGTGTAGAGCGAGCTGCACAAGTGGAAGTGTGGAACGTGTGTCGTGTACATGCGCGCGTGTTAAATGATAATGGGAAGAAAAAAAAATTCCTATGCCAATAAAATAATAAATATTAATTACGCGACGTTGTTAATGCACTTGAAAACTCCAATGACCTAGTGTGTACTTTATACTTTGAATTTTATTTCCGACTGGCCACTGGCGACTATACACAGTACAGTAGTGCCGAACTAGTTGGTAAAGTAGTAACTATACTGCGGCGTGAAGCGATAAAGCGTTAAAACGATTATTTCGTAGCCTGTCAGTCGGTACTCGGTAGTTAGTAGTTACTGTAGTTATAAGTTTGATCGCAACTTTAGTTTGGAAATTAATGCTCTCGCTGTTGGCGAGTTAAAAAATCGTAAATTCTCAAATCTCGTGAAAGAAAAAATAAAGAAAGGTTGTTTCAAAATGGCGTGCGCGCGTAAAATTGGTTCCTAAACCATCTTGCGCGTGACGCTTGTTTAGCGACCAAACATAAAATCGTTTGTTATTTTACAAAAACGTATAAACGATTATCACGAATTCACGAATCGTTTATAGGTCTAAACTTGACTTTCGGAGCGTTGTGCATTCTATTCTGAACCTACAGTTGTGGTTTTCACTATTAAATCCAAACGGCTTTAATGGTTTTATCGATCTATTTTAGACTTCGGTAATTCATCTTTCTAGTAGCTGGGTTGTACCGCCAGCGCCCAGGATATAAAAATCCAATTATTTTAGTCTGGTCGGTCAGTGGAGTCATGATTCTTGGAAATAGACTGAATTTTGGGAGTGTAAAATAAATATATTTTATACTTTTTATTAAGGGACGACCAATAATCGGTAGCATGATAATTCGATATTGGATTGTATAAAACTATAAAATATAAAATGATACAAATTGTGTGGGGCCAACAGACAAATATTTTTGTCTCAGATCTTAGTGGTTTTTTCATTTACAAGTCTTAGGGCCCCCAGGCGGCTATATAGTTATACTACTTATACTTATAAGTTTATAACAGTATAAAAAGTATTTAATTCTAAATCCACCAAGGGGCGCGTATCTAACTTCCAGCAGTTAATCAATGATCGGTGTGATTTTCAGGTTATGTAAATAATTCATGTTATTATTTCGATTATTATTTATTTGTTGTTTTGCTTCGTCTATAATCTAAACTCTACTCACTTTTCATTTATTCTTTCCTGCACCATGCCCATGCGTCTCTAATTTTTGTGATTAATTCGATTGCGATTTTGAAGTCGTTTTAAATGTTGTCGTGCTGAGCGCTGCAGCTGTAGTGCATAGCAATTATTTTTTGGTCTGGATGTATAGAATATTGAATAAAAAAAACTATGACGTGTGTTCGGCGAATGGAAATTTTGGATAAGCAGATATTATTACACTTTATTATAATAGTATAATGGTGTTGTAGAACAACTGGTGTTCGTACTCGCCGCTACAAGTCTTGTGAAAATGCGAAATTGATAGAAAATTGTAACGAACAACAATAATTAAACTCGTTCGGTTTCCGGTAACTTCCGGTAACATTATGCGGCCGACTAAGCAGTCTGTAACTTTGCTATATCTATCGTCGTGCAATATTTTTGCCAATTTGTTGTTTCTCTATGGGTTCTTTTCGTTTGACTACAACGACAGACGCACGTCAACGTCAAACGATATTCCGTCGACCATATGGCCAAACAGAAATGACTCGGAACCTTGGCGGTAATTACACTACAGAGTATATATACTCAACACCAAGACCGTGCTTGGAAGGATGTTTTAAGAATCCACCACTCCCTAAAATCTTGTAAAATTTTTCAATTTCTTAAAAAATGTTTTAATAATATTTCTTTAACTCCCTTGGAAATTTATTTTGAGTACTACCTCATCTACTACCCAACCACTGACTGTTATGTACTTTCAAAAATGTGCATTTTCCTAGTTACATCATATTTCTGGTTTATCAGACCTTTCCTCGATTTTCTAGTTTTAAATTATTGAGATTGACATGTGAATCTTAAAACCTTTTACTATATGTAGTCCCTTACTAAATTGCCAATTGCAGAGTACTTGAGTATCAGTATTATACTTAAATTTTTGTAGGACACTAAGTAATATTTTTTTTTCAATTTAATTCAATAAATAATTTTAGTGAAAACTAATAATTAATAGTGACTAGTGACTATGACCTATGTGATAGGGTTTTCATTAAAACAGTAGTGATTTTTGTTTGGTGGAATTTTTTATCATCGGATACTTCAAAAGGAAATATGAACAAATATTTTGAATTAATCATATTATTTTTAATGTGGACATTTTTTTAGTTTTGACACTCGACGCTTGTATCACAAGTCAGTGAATAAAGTTGTGTTGATGGTAATTGATGGCATTCGTTATGATTTTTTCACGGACTCTGAATTTAATGTATACATGCCATTTTCTACTAATCTCATAAAGCAAAATAGAAGTTGTTTGTTTCGTACCAGAGTGAATGCCCCTACAGTTACAATGCCACGTATAAAAGTATAGTTTTTAGTCATGTTGTAATTTATAAGCAAATTGTAAATAAGCTAGTACATGTTTTATTAACAGGCCTTAACTACAGGTACGGTGCCAAATTTTATCGATCTTGTGCTAAATCTGGATAGTTCAGCTGTGCAACAAGATAGTATTATTTATCAAGCCTCTGCAGCTAATAAACGAGTTATATTTTATGGAGATGAAACATGGTTGAAATTATTCCCAAATTCATTTGTCAGACATGATGGAACTACATCTTTTTATATATCTGATTACACTGAAGTAATTCTATTTACTGTAGTATATATTTTTGATAAATATAAAAATTATACTAAGTGGCATGTTTTCTTTAGGTTGATAATAATGTCACTCGTCATCTTGAAAATGAATTGAAACCAACGGCCGACTGGGATATTATGATACTTCATTATTTAGGTCTTGATCATATTGGTCATACAGGTGGTCCTCGAAGTACATTGATGCCTAATAAATTATCTGAGATGGATAATATTATTCAGCGTACTGTAAATTACATGGTGAATAATTTGTTTTGATTAAATAAAAGAGTGAATTGCAGAATAAATATATCCAAGAAAAAAACCATATATTGCCCACACAGCATTTTTTAATGAAAATTATTGTTAACAACATTATTAATGTCTAATTACAAATGTATAGGTACTGATTAGATAGATTCTTATTATTTAATGAATATATCAAGTCTAAATATTACGAAAGTTCAAAAATGATTAAAAATTAAAAATTAAATATTTATATTATAATTTTCAAACATTGACTAATATTTAATTTTATATTACTATATGTGTAATTCTGTAGAAAAAATAATATTTAATTTTGTTATTTTTTATAAATTGTTTAATATCTAATAATTATTAGAAGGTATTTAAAAAAACTACCAGTTACATTCTACAAAAATCAAAAATACATTAAAATTATTACCTACTTTTAATAGTTACTCCGTGTTAGAAAAAAAAAATATATATATATAAAATATTTTGATTGATTGTTAAGATAAACAAAAACTTAATTAATGAATACAGTCCTTAATATTTGAAGTTCTTATACTATCATTAGATACTAGGAAATGGTATTAAAATTAATATATTAACTATTATTAAGTATTTCTTAACAAATTTCTAGGATTCTGAAAAATCTGAATTGCCATCCGTTTTAATTGTTTGTGGTGATCATGGAATGCGTGACAATGGTGGTCATGGTGGATCATCAACTGGTGAAGTAATGGTTCCTCTATTTGTTTATTTTAAAAATAAGACATGTGGTGGGTCTATAAAGTAAGTTCAATCATAAAAAAATATTATTTTTGGCAATATATAATTTTTTTCCTATAAATATTACTGTTTTTATAAAATTTAGAGAAGAAATCATGCAAACAGATTTTGTTCCTTCAATTTCTGTAATTATGGGGCTACCAATACCTTCAAGCAGTACGGGAAAACTTATAAATAAAATGTTGCAAATTCTTAATATTAATGAAATTCTTTTTGCATATCATTATAACTCAAAGCAAATGTATACAAATTATATTTCAAAAAAGGGGTTAATGAATAAAGGTATTTTGAATTAGACTACCTATTATATAAAATGTTTAAATAATTAAAATGGTTTGAAATCATTAGATTTTGCTTTTTTACTGATTTTTTGTATTATTTTGTTTAGTAGAAAAAATGTAAGTATTGGTGAATCTAAAACAGTTTTAATACTATCTTGTAAAAGTATTAACAGTATACTTATGAGTAGGGTTAAATTTTATATGCATTGTTATATTATTTTAGTGTTCATAAATAACTAAATTTTTGTATATTTCAACTATAAACAAAAAAAAAAAAATGCAATTATTTTGGTACATTTAAACAAGACAAGATTTGTGTAAAAAACTATTGTTGCATTATATTATGCTCATAATTTAAATTTTATGATATCAATGATATTTTTATCTTTGACAAAAAATGTATTAAAAGTACTTTGTATTTATTTAAAAATTAAAAAAAAACAAAATGATTAATCTTTGTTTTAGAGTAATTTTATTCAATTTGCTTAAAATTAAAAAATGAATTTCTTTTTATTTAATGATAGTATGGAAATTATTGACAAATTCAGTGTATATTATATTAAACAAAAAATACATATTTTATTATTCTACATTGCACATACATTTTAGCTGTACTAATAAGCCAATTATTGACTTGCATTTATTTTTTCCTATTGTATATATATGAAAGAGTGATTTTATAAGAAATAATTTGTTTGTACAATTATATATATGTATTTTTATTTTTCTATTATTCAGCATTTATGAAGGATTATGATCATGCTGTGCTCTATTATTATAATTGGTTGAAGAGAGAAACTGCTTCAGTCAATCAAGCGCACCGTGTTATTTCATTATATGAATCTGCACTGAGTGGTATGAGTAACTATGTAATTGGATCAATAGCTAAATTTGATATATTTCTTATAATTGTTTCAATTGTATTATCTATACAGGTACATAAAAATAATTTTTTTTTCTCAAGTTTTTTGTTTTTTACTATTTTTAAATGACAAGTTTTATTTTAATGATTATTATTTGATAATTTAAGGTATGGTTGTTGCTCATAGACTTTGATGCTGTAAATATCAAGTTTATTAAAGTTAGCCGTTTAGTGTACTTAATGCTAATTCGTTGGGCTGTTTGTGTATGGTTACAATGTGATAGTGTACTTTGTGAATTCACCGCCACATTTAATTTATTGGCTAGTGTTGTAATCATAATGTTTATTATAAACCTTGGTGGTATTGGTCGGCCACTTTCTACATTTTTTAGATTAGAGGTACTGAATATTATTATTATTATTTTTTCATTTTAGAATATCTTAATAAAAAACTATTACTGTTTTCAGATTAATGATTTCGATAATAACTTATTTTATGTTCTTCCGGGTATATTAATACATGTATTAAGTCTATTTTCATCAAGTTATATTGAAGAAGAGCATCAATTGTTGTATCACCTTTGGACTGGATTTTCTGCTATTCAAGTATATAAAACTTTTGTTATGCATAACTATACAACAACTGCTAAGTGGATAGTATCTATGATTTTGCATCGATTTTGTAAAAATCTGAATATTATTGGTAATCAGTGGTCAGGTATTTACAGTTTAGGAGATTGGTTCCGTGAGTCTCAAAATAGAATTTATTTATCAACTTTAATGGTTATTGGTAAGTTGTACAGACTATTTTTTTTAAATATAATAAGATAAGTTATTTAAAATTATTATCTTTGAAAAAATTTCAGGTCTTTGTAGTATATTCTATGCTTGTATCAACATTTACCGAGTCGTTAAAAATAATAAGCAATTTCATATGTTGAGTGTAATTATTTTAATTTTATACTTTTGGACTTTATGCAGTGTTTATATGTATAGGGTTGAAACTAAAGAAGTTTTTGTACCATATGGATATAACATATTGTAAGAATCATAAAGATTTATTATATTAATGATTTATATACTAGCATTAGTATATTATCAAAACAATATTTCACTATACATATAATTAATATATTATTAATATTTTTTTTAGAAAGTTAATATTTTGTTTGCATTCATGGACTATAGCATGGTATTTATTGATTGGATGCCATATTTTTATTGTTATTAAACAAACTAATCGAAATAACAACAAGTTTAATAGTGCTGTGTGCTCAATGATAATATTGTTAATGCTACGTTTGTCATTATTACTAAGACCTCATAACATTTTGGTACCAGCAGTCTTAGTGTATACTTGTAAACTTATTCAATTTAAAAACTGGAATACTTTGACTATAACTATACTTCATTATTGGTTGTCATTGATGTTTTTTTTCTATCAGGTAAATCTCTTGTGATCTTAGAACCATATTCCTAACAATTTTGTTAAAATATATTAGGCAATTATTAAATAAAAAGTATTTGAAAACGCTTAGAATTATATAATGTTCCACATTATGCAGTAGTTAAAATTTCATGTATGTAAATTCACTCTACTCTTGTGTCTGCTAGAAAAATAACTTATTTATCTATTTATGTTTCAGAGAAGATTATTCATGACCTCTAAACTAAAAATACATTGTTGCTCCTATATCTTGACACAACATACTCACTTTTCATTATCTTGTTAATTATTATACAGAATTTATATAAACAATTTGCTAGTGCATTTATAGATTTTCAGTGTTAATTGAAATTCTTCATCTCATGTTTAAGTCTTCTACTTATCGTTGTTTATCACTGCAAGTGTGAATTAGTAGTTATAGACTGTTATATGCTCTAATTTTTTTTAGTTTTTATTATAACTATAGTTTCAAATTTTAATTTTAATAAAATATAACTTAAGTTGTTTAAATAATAGATGTTATTAGATAGGTCTTAAAAGTTTACTTTTATTGGCTGGCATTTAAATAATTAGTTATAATTATTTATATACATATGTATATTATGTACAATATGACTAGTATAAGCACTAACATATTACTTAAGAGTTATGAATAATTATTACACTTTATAATTTATAGGGTAATTCAAACAGCGTTGGTACATTAGATATAGTGCCTGGGTACATTGGTCAAACCATTTATGATCCTGTTGTTGCAGGAATCCATATTTTTACCCATACATATGGTTTTCCAATGCTGGTTTACTTATTTCTTGTTCTTGATCAAAAGTAAAACATATACAATATTTATATCATTTTCATATGTTTGAATTTTTAACTAATTAGATTTTTTCAAATTAGATTTTCAGGACTTCAAAAACTTTGTATGCTCAACGTCACTCAATCATGTGTATATAACATAGTTATTTTATTTTTTCGTAATCATTTATTTATATGGTCAGTATTTTCTCCAAAACTTTTGTATATTGTAATATTTACATCTACAACTTATATTTTTTCTGCACTAATTATTATTCTATTAACTTTATGTAGATCTTCTACTAAAAAAGAATTAGAAATTTAAATTTGTGCATTTTTTAGTTACTTTATTACTTATTATATTTTATTGTTTATAACTATATGTATTATCCTAATAATAATTGAAGATTCAAAATACTAATCATTTATTTATAAAATTGTATGATTGTTAGATCATATTAAGTATTGTGCATTCAAATTGTAAGACTACATTAGGTATAGTTTTTTTATACCAAATTTGTTTTTAATCAAATTATTACACTGTCTAGAATTATTAATATACATAATTCATAATTATTTCTTAGTAATTTTAAGTATTATTCTATATGTGTTAAACTGACTGTTATATTACTAAACCATTCCAAAGAACTGTCTAGTGTTATTCAATTAGAAAAGTTTATTGTTAATATTAATTTGGTTTTTGATTATTATATAATATCTATTAAATTTTAATGTATTTTTTTAAAATCTTATGATATTGTAAATATTATTTTTCTTTAATTTTATAAATTAAAATACTAAATATGAATGTTACATTTTAATAATATTATTTATTTGTTATGTGCTAATTTTAAAACAATATAATATGCAGTAGGTATTTGATTATTTACAGTGAAACTTCCATATAATAAACTTATTTAACTATATTTTTTGTTTGAAGAAATGGTTTTTAGAACCATAACCAAATTTCAACTAAATTCATTTAATTCTTTTCAAAAAAATTTTCTATAGTATAAAATAATTTTGTTGTCTTTTAAGATTTATTTGTATGGAAACCTTATTATAGGCAATTGTTGATTATCAAAAAAAAAAAAAAATTTTTTTATTGTCTTAAGAATATCCTAATATTCTTAAAATAGTAAAGAAATTTATCAAAGTTAAATATTTTTGTACAAATTACAAAAAAAAATTTATACATCTAAATTATAAATCAAATCAATAAAATAAGGGCATGTAATTTCATAGTTTTTTTGAGAAAAATATTTAAAGTATAATGTTGTTAGCAAGATTATTGTAATCAATTAATATTTATGATAACGTATGGTTCATAATAAATTATTGTTAAAATTTTCTCAGAAAAATAATGTAAAATATAAGAAGGTATAAGAAATAAATAATAAAAATTAAATTAATTTACATTGAGAATACATTTTAATAGTTAAGTGTATATTTTTTGAGTAAATAGTTGAAATTTCCAATACCTAATCACTTAAAGATTTTTGGGACCTTTTAATAATACTTATCAATACATAAATGGACAGCATAATATTTCCTAACCGACGTCCAACAGTAATAATTGTACTTACAGTTGATATATTCAGTATTAAATAATTTTTATTGTTATCGTATTGGTGTAAATATTTTGTGTTAGCGAAATTAAGGCGATGATGGCTAATGACTGAGGTGTTAGCAGATTTAAGAATTTAAGTATGATTTCAGAAGTTTTATCGACTAATATGTCTCGGACCTTGATTGAAAATAGTCAAGGTTATTTTTTATCGTTGGCATTTTTAACGAGTAGGTATATTTCTACCTATTGTGTAATAACTAATATAAAGCTTAAACTGTTTTTAATATTTGCAATTTTGTTAAAATACCTACCTACGTTGTATTATTGGAGATCTGAGAATAATACACATTATTAAAATATTTTAAAGGCTGGTGTGTAATGTGAAGTCGCTAGATGGAGCTATCACATATTATATGGTCAAATTCAAATGTGCAGTGAAACTTTCATTTTACGAAGTCTCAACAAAAATAAGAAAAATATTGTATTATACTCGTAAAAAAATAGAATTAAATAAATTTGGTTAAATTTCTTAGAAACATTTCATCAAATATAAAGTGTTGTTAAATGAAAGTTTGTTTCATAGAAATTTCTCTGGATTAATAGCAGAAACAATAATACAATAATAAAATTAGGTACTTATTTATAAAAAAATAAAATTAATACTTAAATATAACAAGTAAAAATTCTATAAAAATGGCGAAAATAGCAAATAATAAAGAAATAATTCTAGATTATGGATATTTAAATAATGTATCGTCTAATTCAGACTTAATTACATTTTAATGTTTATTTTTCTTTAGTCATTATTCAGTACTAAGAAAAAATATTGATAATATCACAATTTATTAATCATATTCATTTAGGTACCTACCTATATTAACCAATTTAAAATTGACTAATGAAATTATTACTTTCATTGAGTTAAAATATAAAACCAACATGTTATGTTAGATTTATTTTTTACACATCGGTAATGTATTTAATAAATTGAAGTATTGAACTCTTTGTTACTATAATTTTATACTATACTTATTATGTAAAACCAAGTACCTTAATAATTACTAGCAGAGTTATGGTATCATAATTTGGCACTCGGAGAAAAATTAAAAATATTCGCTCCTTCCATTATTTTATTATTTATCTTTTTCTTTTTTCTTTTGGTATTATCAAATCTATATTTTATTGTACATTTTTAAACATTTTTGTAAAAATAATAGGTATAGTAATTTAGATGTTAGTAAATAGTGTGAATACTGTAATTACACAACAATTAAAAATAATAATACAAATAATACAAATTAATATTTGTTATTAAAGTATGATTATAATACATGATTTAAAATTTAACCCTCCTTGACTTGATTGAAGCAAAATCTTCTACAATGTCTTAGAAAAAAGTATAAAAATTTGGTTTTATTGCTGTACATTAGCCAAGGACGCTCAACTTTTTCACCGTTTGAAAGGATTTTAGTAAACCAATTGATAGTTAAAACTTAAAACTTCTTTTATCAGTTTTATTTTCAGAAAAATTAAAACCTAAGTTTTTCTTTTGTTCCATTTGAGACCATGATTAATTAATAACGTACGAATTTTATCAGTAATTGGCGGCGAAGAAGAGGGATCATTAAAATCAACTATGAATATTTTTTTAGCCTTATATAGTAACCTGGGATTTATTTTCAGTATTGTTTTTAATCTCTACATTTCTAAATTATTAGGTAATTTTAGATATAATAGTTTATTTTAATATTTCACTTAAAAATGTATGAAATAAAAACTATATTTTGTTAGAGATTATTAGTTAAAATATTGCTGTGTAGTATTATTAAATCATTCTGATGGGCAATGAACTTTTTGGCGCTCATTTAAAATTTGTGCTCAGGGCACAGGCCCCTTTGATCCTTCCTTACGGCACGGCTCTGTTTAATAGTATGCATAAGTATTGTGTAGGACTTACCTGTTTAAGTAACAAGTACACAGAACTAACACTTAAAAAAAATTAAAAATGGGTATCTAACTTTGTTACATGTTTATTGATAAGTGATAGGTAGGTACCTACTTACGTAATTTTTTTCTTCTGTTGTGATTTATAAAATAAAATAAAAGTTCTTACCTTATTTACAGGTAACATCCGAGTATTTTTAGAATTCCTTTTGGATGTTTTCTAAAAACTCCTACTCCTCAATGTTTGATAGTTAATCAATATTGACACTTGGCAGTAGATACATATAATGTAATGAAGTGTATCTATCTTGGTACGTATAGTACATACTAATAAATAATTATAAATAACATTTTATACTCCAGTATTTTAATTTTTAACCTTATGCAAAAAACGTTCCTAATTTTTAGTTATTGATGAGTATCAGTGAACATAATATGTCTATGTATTGCTTACCTTTTATAATATTGTGGATTTCAGTTCTCAGACCAAAATATCTTTGGTGAATAAATCATTTTCTTATTTTGAAATAGTTAAGCATTAGATACCTATGTAATGTTAAAATAAAAATAAAATACTTATCGTGTCTGTAAAATTAGTTATACCGTTTCCAACATAAAAAAACATAATTGTCGTTTTGTTTTGTACATGAGTACCTACCATATATTATAATGATGGGCAATTTAAATTCCATAAATGATTAATCAAACTAATATATATATATATATATAAATATATATGTATAAGATATTATATTATGTAATTCGTTTATATTAAACGTTTATACATTGAATATTACCTATCCAACTGATTTTTAAGAATAATGTAGTAGGTATCATAATTTGACGGTCTTTCGTTATTCATTATAATTTTGTAAAAATACGTACCTTTATATAAACAATAAATGTATTATAATAAAATAATACCTACTGTATATTATTATTGATCTTTGTTCGAATTCAATGATTTATGATGACATTACTATTAATTATAAATATTGAATTATGTAGGTACGTTATATATTGGATAGTAGGTAGGTATTTAAAATAATCTATGATAATGCTTTAGTGGCTGTATAGAACGTTATAAAGCAGTACTTTATTTTTTTTTTTATTGATCTTCATAACAACTCGGTAGTAAAGACTAATTATTGCAGCATTATAATACTTACTAAGTAGATTCTACTTAGAAGGTACAGACTATTTAATAGGTCAGCAGAGTTATACGTATTCCCGATAACAAAGTAAGTGTCAAAGTTTGTAAACAATTTGTTTTTTCTTAAGGTACACATCTTAATCTCTTTAATTTAAGCTGCTCAATACATTATATATATTTGAAATAGGTAGCCAAATGCTTGGCAGTTGAGTAAAGCTTATAAAGGTTACCATAATGTATGTAATAATGTAATATGTATACATTGTTTTTGCCTAACCTAGACTGATCTGAAGTGTGTGAAATAAAATGTATTCATTACCATAACATACAATATTTAACATTTTTTGGAAAGTTTATTTCAATTATTCAGTCGCTAATAAATAAATAATGTACACGGTGATAATCAGATACATAAGAAGTTCTTATCAATATTAATTTTTTGCTAAATAATAGATTATGTGATATTTTCAAATTAACACGTAGAATTTTTACCTACATATAATTCTAATTCACAAATTATTTAATATTTTTGGACATTTTAATTGACAAGTACGTTTGTGTTCATATATTGTACAAGTTACTTGTTTTTTAACTTATAACATATTGATTTTTTTTAGTTTTGTACAAAGTATAGTAATATATTATATAATTATTGTTAACAAGTGCCAATTTTATTTAATACACAGTTAAAAATTAGAACAGTGTTTTTATTTTTAAAATTATATTTTTTGATGTCTTAGCAAATTGAATACAATATTTTACTAATTATCATAGATATTTTAAAATTATAATTGCACGAATCTATGTATATATAAAAAAAAAAAAAATACCAATATAATTTTAAGGGTTATTGTCTACAATTTTTATTTTCTAACTTTAAGATATGTACGTAAAAACCTTGTAATTTATATTTTTGAAATATATCTAAAATATAGTATGCAACGCACGAAACGGTGATGTCGTGTACGATGTATGAAGTTAGGAAAGTGGATATCTACTAAAAAATTGTCGATAGATATATAGTAGCGTTTCACCGGTGTAGAAAAATATTTTAAAAATTTCATCGTCCAAAATTGATAAAAAAAAAAATAATAAAAATAATAAAAATAATAAAAATAATAATAATAATAATAATAATATTAATTATTAAATAATAAATATTATCACTAAATGTACGATTTAAAAACATATATTAAACATCGTTTGAATAATTTTTTGTGTAGTCAAAATTCTTTTTCCAGAAATGTTTCATTGAATTTCGTTCTTTTTGTTCAGAAATTCTAAATTGGCTGATATTGTACTCGACATACAGTATTATTTACAATAATAAGCTTTAAAGTGTAGATATCAGTGTATAGAAAATGCGAAGGAGCGTTCGAATGACGATACGATGTTCGTATTTGTTTTAAAACACAATATGATAATAACAATAATTTTTATGCTATTACTCGATTCAAACGATGTGAAACGATTTGCGTGTAGGCGGCAGGCAGGTAAGCCAAGCTTACCTTGAATATATCGGATTTTTCGAAAAACATCGATACACGATAAATATGCCTAAGTACATAATAATTATAGTAAGTATTGTGTTTTAAGACTTGACATTTGAACTTTCGAAGCTAGTCAAATAGTGGTTTATCAACTTTACTCGTATCACAAACAACAGTAATAATATTAATAATAATAATAATAATAATAATAATAATAATAATGATAGTAATAATGATAGTCTAAAACAGAATTTCCTTTAACTACAATACAAGACTAAATATCAAACGTTAGGAAAACACAATATAGTTAATATTTTTACTCCAGTTGAAAACTGCAAGAGGTATTTAAGTTTTTTTGTTTATGTTTCGTCGTAATTTTTACATGTTTAAACGTAAGCTCAGTGGGTACACGCGCGCACGAGTGCTGGAGGAAGGAAATAATTGCGTACGACGTTCACGCTCTATGATATGCAAACACGTTCTCTGCCGGTAGACCAAGACAGTTTCACTTGGTAGTCCGTGTTCAGGATAAAGTCTGAAATGCAACCAACAAATCCTTTTCTGTATCTCTTTCCGGTAGACTTCTTCACGTCTTCCGTACCTCCTACGAATTCGAATAGATCACAAATAATATATTATAATATAATATACATAATATAAGATATTAAATAAATCGTGTTGTTTCATTTTATTATTATTTTTTTTTATAGCCAATTTATTTATCGAAAATTATAATATATTGTTATATTTTAAATACTGTATAAATGAATGTTAATTGTATCTCTTATGGTCCTACGTGACATTATAATATATAATATGTCTACCAATATCGGCAATATCTATTTATATAGCACCTATTATATAACGAACATAAATCATAGTAAGTATTTACACACGATTTTATAGAAAAAGCTGTAATAGAGAAAATGCTGTTAGTTTTATTTTTTCCAACTAAAAGTTTGTACATTTTAAGTATACGAGTATTGTTATATGTTCTACATTTGTTTTGTGTCAATGACTATTTTTGTGTTTTGGCACGAAGATAGTTGTCAAGAAATGTGCAATAACATTAAAAAACCACTTCCACCCTAACCAATTACTCGTTAGAAAAAAAAGTGGTGCTAAAAAGTTATTAGAATTTGAAGAAAGTTTAAGAACAAACAATAATATGAATAGAAATAACGTACATAATTAATTATTTTTGTAAAACTTTTGATTTGAATATTTAGTTTACAGTTTTTATTTTATATAGGTATGTTTTAGTATAACAACAAAGACGAACATTTTATATTTGTGCAAAATATATTTAAATATTAACACTAAATCATAATTATTGCACATTGGTAGATAGAAAAGAAAAAGGTTGAGTATTTTACACTAATAAAAATTTAAATTATATTTTATGTACATATACTTTGAAGTATTTTTTATTCGTTATATTTTATATAATGGGAGTTTTGAGTTATACGTGCATAATGTGTTTATAAAGTAATTTTTACTGTAAGCAAAAATTTTTAAATTGTAAAAAAAAAAAACTATAATTATTAATTCAAAGTTATATTATAGTGATAAAAAAAGGTAAGTATAAAAAAATTATGTATGTGTTGACTATAAAGAATAAATAATAATATATTACTTATATTCTAAGTAGTAAATACTATATAGACTCTGTTTCAAAAGTCATGGAATATATTATTTTAATTGATTAATTAAATAAATGATGTGTCCTAAAAAATAAATAGGTACCTAGTAATTTATTTTGAAGAAAATTAAATTAATTTAATAGTGTAAAATATTGTTAAACCCAAAAACTGCACATTCTAGATAAAATAAAAGACAAGATAACACACTTTTTTAAGATATTTGTATCTATGCATTTAAAAATGTATAATTTTTATGATTGGATAAAATAATATAAAAGAAATTATCGTCTGTGAAGGTACTAATAAGTATTCATCATAATAATTACATTAATATTCAATTTTTTTTTTACATACTATGATAATAATTTTATATTATTAAAAACATACGTTATATTTTTTTTGTTTTAAGTTCTTAGAACAACATAATTTAAAACAAGATTTGGTGTTTCTGCTAAACTATTTATAAACCCGATAAAAGTTTTTGACGTTTGGAATACATCTGGTTTGTATAGTGTAGTGTAGATTGTAAATTAAAAGAAGTGTGTGGTTTTTGGATGTAACCTAAAATGTATATAATATGCTAACAATGCAACAATATTGAAGCCAAACATTCTGAATATTTTACCGGTAAAGTAAATCTCGTAAAGAATTTTCTTGGAAATGTCTTAATAAAACATAATTCGTTGAATGTCTGTAAAGATTTTCAATAAGGGTCTAAATTGTATGATATCACTGGAATTGTTGGCATAAATTTTAAACAAAAACTAATTTATGTACATATTATATTAAAATTATGTAACTATATAACATATCGTTGAATTTCACAAAATTTCAAATGAATAGTAGTATTTTGATAAATGAAGAATGAAAATTATATAAAGGCCAATTTAATGGGAATATTTTCCTAGATTCTTTATAGAGTAATTTCAATTGCATAATATTGCTACTTAATATATAAATAATATTAATACCGATGTAGAAGGGTCTAAAACAGTGACTGATACTATAATATGTAATGAAAAATTAAATTATAACAGTTTATTAAAAAATGTAGTATTATTTTAACTAATATTTTATTTTGGTTCATAATTAAAAAAACTTATCAAAAAAGTTCTTAGAAGTATTATATTATACTATAAATAGAACTATATTATACACAACATATAAACATATAAATAATTTCAGTAATATATTTAGGATAATTATGTTGAATTATTAATTGAGTGCCTACACGACAAATTTTAGCCTATTTATTTTCAAGATGATATTGGATTAAAAACAAGACTTACCTAAGTACAATCCTGTATTTGTGTTGAGTTGCTTTAGTCGTCCCGTAGAAATTGTTATCATTTTTGTACCATTATCTATAGTTAAAGCGCTCAATCTCTCATCTCTAAAAAGTAAAAAGCAATGTATTTTATTACATTATTTATGATATTAATTTTTAAATAAGAATAATGAATAATTAGACATTTTATAGACTCTTAATTTGTTATCAATTATACATTCATTTATTTTGAAATTTAAATATTTCAATAAAAAAAAATAAAAATATTTTAATTAATCAATTTGATATTATATTTATCATTGAATATGTCTATTATGTATTTACAAAAAATAAAAGTAAAAATTAATAAATATTTAAAATATTTTTTATTTCATGATATATAGCGTACATATTTTTATTTATAACTGCATAAATAGGTGTAGGAAAGTTTTATTTAATTACTTTTAATTGAAAATAGATTTACTTAATTCTATATTTTTATTAGGTAAAAATGTAACATGTAGGTATTTACAAACCTAGTAAACTTCATTCTGTGCCAGTGTCCATCATTTATAGGTAATCCAGTGGTATTATATCTAAGTACCGTTTCACCACTCCCTAAATCGTAAGCTACTTCAATACGACCATCTTGTAATCCTAATGCTAAAAAGTCAGCCGACCTGTCTGACCGTCCGGTCCATAATATGAGTCCGGTGAGTGCAGTAGTCCGAAAGCGCATATTAATATCCAAATGTCCATCAGTGATCCTAAAAATAATATAAGAAAATACACGCATGCTTATAAATAATAATAAATGATTTTAAAGTTGAGCAAAAGAGATAATATTCTCAGATATTAAAAAAAAAAAAAAAAAAAAAAATCATAAATAATATATTATTTTGTATGGATAATGAATTTATTTTTAGTCTTACGAGAGTACTAAAAAACTAATAACGATAATTTTACTGTTATAATACTAATTTAGCTATAGGTTAGTCATGTTTTAGATTGAAATTTTTAAGCTTAATAATAATATGATTCATCTCGCATTGAAAATATTATATTTTTGTACCTACCATAAACTAAACTTGATTAATTTTGCAAAAAAAAAAAAAAACACGTTTATTTATTTTGTATTAGTGTTGAAAAATGTAACATTAAGTGTGAAATATGTTTTTAATTTTAATTTGATTATAATATTTAGTACCTAGGTATAGGGTACCGTGTGCATATATAACTAACAATATTATTATACTTGTATTCAATGGTAATATGATTGATTATGATTTGGGTGTGTATGATTTTATTTTATTTTAAACGTTAAATGATTTAAATGATGTATTATATAATAATATGGTTATGTATAGCATTTTCGTCGTATTTTTTTCCCTCTAGTTCGTAGTATAAATGATGTAAGAATTACACTGTCCCAAAATATTTTTTTGCTATTTATATTAAAGAATGAAATAACTAATTTCTATAAAACATTATATCCACTAAAGGCATGTTATTAAAACAAATAAATATGTAAAGGATATGAAAATATTTATACTTTCAGGTATTTTATTATAGTTCTGTGAATCACAAATGTGAAACACAAGACACACACACACGTCATATTATATCGTAATAACATTTGTAATGAAATACCTCTGTTGTATTTCGTGGTCGGTGTAATGTACGAAAGACGTGCCGTCGAATGACACCTGATCACCGTCGGACGAGTTGCATCGTCTGTCGCATACGCACTTGTACTTATCAAATATCGGTACGCACTGCACGTCGGCGCCGCATGGTTTGGCTACGCACGGATGAGGGCAATTGGCTACGTTCGCCCCAGACAAGGCTCCGCGGACGATTTGCAACGGTTTATCGTTGACAGTAACCTGCGCCGATAAAAATTCGAAATTATAAACAAATGATTTTGGCAATGAAAATATTATCACGGTGTAGGGCGGCCATTGTCGTAGACAATACAATATCGTTGTAGACGGGTAGATAACACCTAACCCAACCTAATTCATTATTTTTGGTAAATAAAGTTATTATTATAATTCGAAAACTACTCGTTCGAATTTCGATCTAGATAATAATATAGAGTAACATTTCTACAGACTCGTCTGCTTAACTACGTATTTACAAGAAAAAGAGCAAGTTAATAAATGTATAAAATGTTACATTTTTCTATACTTAGTTGTTTAGAATATTATAACTTTTGGATAAAACTCCCATAAATTTAAAATGCGTTTCCGGAAATATTTTATTAATTAATTTTCAATATATCAAGAGGGGCATTACCCTGTTAAATTTTTCGAGAGCGGTTAGTTGCCCCACAGTTTACGCATTTGGAAGGGATGGTCGTTTGCGGAGTATACATGCTTAATTAGTATTGATTTTAAGTGAAACCGCTGACTTTGTTCATTAAGAAAAGTTATTTAATAAAAATGTATTCACCGACTCTCGATTCAAATATTTTATAAGCAATAGAGAAAATAGACTATTTCTTAAACAGGTAATTAATATTAAACATCACGAGACCAAAAATCCAATACCACTTAATTTTGTTTAATGATGTATTTTTTTGTAAACATTTGTATCTTACACAAAAGTCAAAACTTTAGAACCATATAAAAATAAAAAATAATTTTTCAATTAAAAATTATCAATCTCATGGTCACACCAACGGTGAAAGCCATTTTACTATGACGTGTTGATAATTCATGTGACTCTTATGTTATTTGCGCACTATATTTTTTTTGTTATGTGTAAAAATAACTATCAAACAGTAAACCATAGGGTATGTACTGTATATAAATGACTCCAACAATGAAACTTTAGAATTTTAGTATTCTACCAGTATAGTATACGTATGCTATACAACAATTTTAAACACGCCCACATGTAACATCAACAATAGTTCTAATACCTTCATGCCCAGTTCAATTGTCAACCAGAAAGTACTGTGCAAAACCATAAAAATATGATCGTTCCGACACTAATGTGGTAGGTAATGAAATCACATAAAATAAAACGAATTATGCTCTTTTAGTCAACATAGGTAAAACAATTTTTGAATTTTTAGATTTAAATGAATGTAAATCTATAATAATTGATCCCCCGATTCCTACTTGCCCTATTCCGAGCTCTGCCATTTCTAAACTGATTGAATCTAAAAATTAAAAAATCATATTCCTCGTACACTTGCTTTATTATATTACGGAACGTTAAAGGGAATTCCAAAATAGGTTTAAAAAGATATAGTTTTGTTGTGACCTGTTTATCTAAAATTAAAATAAAATAAAATATTACAATAATTAAAAAAGGACGTTAATTATTGCGAGTATAAATTATCATTCTTGTAATAGATCTCTTTTAAGTTAAAGTATAAAATAAAATACATAATAAATAAAATAACTAAATACTTGCATATTTCATATTTTCATTTTCATTGAAAAATACTGTTGTAAATTTGTAAATTAATTTATATATTTTCAACAGAAAAAAATACTATAATACCTAATGAAGATTTTAATCTGATTATATTATAGCTATTGTCTCTAAATTAAAGTGATACAATATTCAGAAAATAATGTAAGAGTACTTTTTAAATGAGTGTAAACTCCAGCTTTGTAAATTATTGATCGAGTAAGTTAATTTATCTAATTAAAAAGTTGTACACAATGCAAACTAAAATAATATTCGTGTATATTCTTTATAGGTACAGTAAATAACGCGATATTAAATTTACAGATCTCATAATCAAATTATAAAATAAATTCATTTTATTAAAGTAGCAGTTAACTGAAAATAAAATTGTTTTTAAAGTATGCATAATAATATTGAATGTATATATTTATTCTGTATAATTAAATATTCTATTAAACACTCGGTTAATAATGCTTAAGGATCGAGAATATGGATTAAAATATATAATTTATTACAAAATATGCTTGAATCCATAATAATTGACCATAATAATCATTATTTACCTAATACTTTTTTTATAAAACTAAGATAAAATTATATGTATTTGGTTTTAATTTATGATAGGTGCTTGTTGAAATATAAAATAATTTAATTTAGTATATTTTATTGGATTCAAGTCTTTCATCTATCAATCGTTTAAAATGACAAAATAGTGAAAAGAAAAATACGAAAAAAAGTATTATAAAGTATATTACTCAAAGAAAAAAGATATCTATCAAGTTCATCATCGTTAGCTGTCTCAAATAAATATTTTTTGGTTATAACTTTAAAGTAGTGTACTTCAGGATACATGCATCAATATAAAACAAAAAAAGAGTCTGATGAAAATACTAAGAATGTGATAGATAAAAATACGTTATAATGCATTAGTATAGAAGGTGTAACGTTTACCTGTGTTTTCTACAATGAAATAAAGTTGTACTAAAAATTATCATTAATTTTTGATTAATTTATAATTTATTTTATTGTTTATTTTAATATGATTTTTATATTTTATCATATCGTTTATACCTCAACACTAATATATATATATTGCTTATATTGTTTTGCTGGTCTGATATCTATTTTGATAATTTATTTTCTAAAATATAATATCACATAATATTATGATACATAAATTTTATAAAATCATATTAACGACTGTTTACAGTATGCAACAATTTTAATAATAATATGTAATGTTATTATATTTAATCAAATTTATAATAATTAATAAATACAATTTTTGAGTTTCTTATTAACTATTTATGATATATAATAATATTGCATTTTTACAGCAGCAAGCATTAGTTTACAATACTCTGTTAAAGCTTGTAAACATTTTAAACTCGTTTTTTGACAATAGAAAGTAGGATTGAAAACCGAAAAAAAATTATTATAAATATAAATTATATCCGTAGCAATGGTGCGTGAAGCATTTCATCGTTATTAATGGATAATTTAGTTTTCATTTAGGAGTCGAGTATATCAATTATAATATACAATAAAAATAGTATACTCTGTAAATGTGTTTTGTTAAAGTCTGTGATACATATTACATATTAACGAATATTTAAATAAAACAGAAAATATAATACCATTATCGTGATATTGTCACTAAAACTTATTTAATACACTATAATATACGTGTATTCTTATTAAGTAATTAAATTTTTAAAAATAACATTTTTCAAATAATATTTTATTTTAAATAACGTTATAGATCGAAAAAAAGTCTTGATATTTTACACGTGTCAGACTTTCTTTTTGATCAGACACACCTGCAGTGTATATGTACAATAATATAATACATATAAAGATACGTTATATATTTTTATATTGTTGTGTTCGTAACACATTTTTAATAATATTTTTAGGTTACCAGTTGTGTGAATATTATAGCTAATATACTATAATAATAATAATAATAATATTTTTGAATAGGTACAAACTTTTTGTATGCAGCCACTGAACGATTTCCGAACTTTGATTTGTGTAGGTACTGTATCAAAGTCAGGCACACCTCCAATATACATACTTAACGGTAATGATAGCTGCGTAAATGCTCCTGGTGACAATATCTGAACCAAAATAATAGATTAATAGTGTTAACAGTGTTTTAAGTATACATTCACTAAAATATTTGTGTTATAAATTATAGAAATATGTGTTTTTTGTTTGTTTTATTTATGTTTGAATGATTAACTTTCCATTTATAATAATATGTATAAAGATATTTTTAGGAATATTTTGTTATATTTTTAATTATGTATATAAAGTTATCACTGTTTAATGAACATGAAAATTTTCTTTTGTTAAGCCTAAATTTTTGAATAGATAATAAAAATAAATTACTTTTAGTTTATATAATAAATACCACGGACCATCGAATTTGAAAACACCTACTATTTAGTTTTTAAATTTCAATTTAAAGTTTTATATGATCTCTATACAATATCCATACTTAAAATTTTCCGTATTTATACTTAAAATTATTAAGACTCTTAAGACATATTTATAAGTTTATAAATATTTAAAAAGGTCCTTACTTGAATTTCTGGTTGGTTGTCCACACGCATAACTGCTAATTTTCCTGTTCGTGATATCCATAGTCTATGCCATTCTCCTAAAGAAACAGTCCACGGACTCCTGTTCAAAATATAAAATCAATTTATATTCTTTAAAATAGTAAACAATTTAATGATAGTGTTTTATTTATTTTATTTCCTTGAATTCTGACTAGAGGCGAATAATGAATTAATACATTTTTTATGACGGGAATATTCATTCCCTATCAGTGGTTGAAAAACCTTATCCATATACATAAATAGACCTTTCAGAGTTCAGGATATTTATTATGTCCTAAAAAAGTTATTACTAAAATATAATTTTAGATAAGACTCGAGCACCTTAAATCCACTTTAAACTCCCTTGTACGTATGCTAGGGTAAAGCACTCTATCATAATATATTTACTATATATAAAATTTGTATATCGATAATATATCCTAAATTACAAAATGTTTCAAAAAACTTCTATACATTTTTAATAATAATCTACAAATTAGACGTATTATTACTTATTTTAATATTATACAATACTCCAAAGCCTAATCTAAACTTAAAATTTTGTCAAAATCGTGTTTTATGGGTTATAAATTAAAATAATATAGTTTAAATCAATGTAGATCCAGTCCTGTATAAATAATTAAGGTTGTTTGTGTAAAATAGTGAATGTGTAATATAGTTTATGTTATTACGGTTTATGTTTATAATCCGTTCAGTTAGTCAGCCACCCAAATATATGCATGAACAAACATTTCTAAAGATTATATTATAGATAAATATACTCATATTAACTTCATACTTTAAAGAACCCACTATGACGTATACATATACGTTTCATGAAAAATAATGTAATTCTGTTCAATTAAAATATTAATTCTAAAAAAATTGTGTACCTACTTAAAATGTATGTACAGTGTACACACATGAGTAGTGCATTTTTTTGGTTTTAAAAATATGCTTTGCACGATCAAAATATATAATAATAAATAAATCAAAGCTTATTTTATAATTATAAATGTTTTAAGAGATTTTAGATATAAAAATTTAATTATCATGATATAAAAAGTTGAATAAAAACTTAAATTTTATTATATTTAAATATTTTAACATGTTTTTTTTTTCAATCATTTTTTTTACACTTCTGTTATCAAAGCTTTATTAGCATAACGCATTTTAGGATAAAAAGGAAGCTTAACATAAAATATTAATGAAAAGTAATGTTAATATGTGCATTTGTTAACTGGTAGTTTGTTGTATATGATAGTGAATTTTTAAATATTAACGAATTTTGAGAATATAATTTTTATTCTTTACTAAATAAAAACTACGATATAACTAAATGTTTATGAGTTATTAAGATTAGTTGATAGCTAAATAATATGATTATTTTATTGTTTACTCTATAGCAACGGTTCCTATACTTTTTTGTTCATGCATCTCCAATTATAAAAAAAATTCAATCGTGCCTCCTTTGAATTAATGAAATAAAAATTTTTATTAGTGTATATAATACTAAATTAGTACTTATAGTTTATATGTGAATTATCAATATTTATATCATGCCTACCCTGTTAAGTGGTTGCGCCTCTCAAGGGAGTCGCGTCTCACATTTTGGAAACCGCTGCTTTATAGCATGAATTAAATATTTCTATTTTTTGAAAAAATTTAAACAAGATAATGTCTTATGTAAAACTTTTGTATCACATAAATATTATTTTATGTTATTATAATACTATAAAAATAATATTTTAATGATTACACGGCGTAATAGATAGGCTATTTGACTATATTATTGCGTTTGTACATATTTTATTCTACTTTTACTTTTTTAATATTGTTTTTATAAAAAAATATATTTTATATTGTATACTTTTCATTATAAATTAATAAATTGAAATTATACTAAACCTTAATGATGCTGTTCCTGTGCCTAGATCGAATGTAAACTCTACGTGACCATCAACCATATAAACACTTATGAAATCAGCTGAACCATACTTTTGGTACCCTTCATAGAGTATTAGTCCGTCTATTGATTGAGTTTTGAAAACAATTTCTAAATCCAACCATGACAAAGCTGAGTCACCTAAAGCAGGATGTCTCAAGTAACTGGAACCATTAAATGATGGTACCTGAAACATTAACAAAATAAAATATGAATTATGATATATTCGTTACAAATAGTTAAGTATTCTTTTTTTTAATAATAATTTACTTTCTTTTACTTTCATCATCTTAAAATGTAAACATTTTGTTTCTTTATTGTTTTTATGTACATATATTTGTCATGAATATTATGTAGGTATAAATATAATATTTATAATTTTAAAGATCTCAATATAAGCAATGTCATAAAAACATGTATTATCGATCAATTGTCATAATATCAGGTTTATTGTTATTAAAAATACTATGTTTTTGTGTGTATGATATATATTATTTTTATTATTAGATAATATTATGGCATTCAAAAGTAGTAAAATGTTAGAAATTAAACAATTTATTAAGCTGAATATATAAAATACTGGTGAGTACCACTAATATAATTAAAAGTTATTTATTACCTATGGTAATGCATAATGGGGTAAAAAAAAACTCTGAAGGAATTTATACCTATCTTTCCTCATAATTATTTTACTACAAAGTTGAAATTGCTTGGTTTCTATCAATTGGATGAATTTCTAACTATAGGAGCCCAACAAATTTTAACATTCTTGATTATTATCTATAGGTATTTTTTCAAAAATTTTACGCGGTTTTCCTTGTATTCTAAAATTAATTAAAATAACATACTTCATTATAATATTACAAAGATTGGCATACGCAATATATATATTTACAAAAAGTTCTAGATTTTAGTATTAGGCAGTCAAATTAATTATTATGTATTAAATCAATGATACCAGATAATTTTATAAAATTTAATAATTAATCAAATAACAAAATAACAAATATTGAAATCAAATTTATTGAGTTATCATGTAGGTTATTGACTACTCATACAATTTTTGTTTTAAGTGTCACAATGAGTTATCAAATTATATATTAGTATTATATAGACGTTAATATGTAAGTAATAATAAAAGTGTAATGCATATGGTTATATACTTATTGAATTAACCGTTAATGTTTGATTTTAAAAAATATACCATTTATAAATTAAAATATACTTTATTTACCTTCAGTATAGGAGTAAATATGTACAGTGACTACTTGTTTCTTTTAATATAATAATTCATAGATATTTTACATTTGTAAGTATAATAGAGGATATTTCATTTTATTTTATAAGGTATACTGCGTTATGATTTATATTTTGTGGTTAATGTGTTTGGTGCTTGATAGAAAGAGAGAGTGGTTAGTGCATTGTGATAAGTGAATATTGATAAACAATTTCATTATACCTTGATCCTTCTAGAATAGTTGTTGTAATAAAATGTAAGTTTGAAATTAAATACATAAATCATTTACATCTACCCTGCCGATAATGTCTTTATAATCTTGCGAGTGTGATGATGTATTTGTTACTATGCTATAAAACTGTATTCAGTTTTTAACAGCAGTTCAAAATTTACTAAATTATATGTGGTCCTCAAAATAAATAAAAGTAAAACAAATTGGAAAATGTTATGTGCATTGTTTGCGAAAATAAACGATTTTTTAGTATGATACAATTTTTAGAATACATTAACGACCAAATATTTTGAAAACTTGATAGTGAATAAATATAAATAAATAGCAGCTGAAGTTAAATAAAGTTTTAAAATAACTATGAACAAAATAAACAAAAAATGTACCTGAATTTTTTTGGTTACAACATGAATTTTGTTTACTTAAGTAGAATAAAGTGCAATAATAATTGTATATTATTTATATGAGATGAAAATTTGGGTATTAATTACCGACTATTTACTTCAAATACTTTGTTTACTATTTGCTTTTTAAATTTAAAGTATTCATCGAATTTTTAATCAAAAAGGTTAGTAGAGTAAATACCAAGAATGTAGTTGTTGTAGTTAATTAAAATTTACTCGGTCGGATATAAAACATAGTTAGGTACACGCGAAGAATTATATAAAGTGAAAATATTATAACTATGCCATGTATTGTAGTAGCTACCGACAACCGTGAGCTGGGTAAATTTTGTTTGTCTTACAATCGGTATTATATAATATTGATCCAGTACTTTAACCAGAATGTGACAATAAAACAGACTTTGGGCATGTTATTCAGATTGATAGATCAAATAAAAAAATAACAAAATATTTGAGATATAGCTATAAATTATAGTAAATAGTTAATGTATAATGTATATTAAATATAAATATTTTTTCATAGAATCGGGGTTTTCATTTTCAAATCATCATTTGGTCCTTCTTTTTTATAGTGCGGTGTTATCATTGTGACATAAACATACATACTCGTATAGTATATTATTATCTTATATTTTACGGTTATGTATTGAAACACATTATTGGGTTGTACGGTTAGACAAACGAAAAGCAAATGATAATAATAATAAAATAACAATAGTAAAATGATATTTCAATAAATTATATTATGATGTATAAATTCTTCACGTAGAAACGGCCTCTTGCCTCGAGACATGGCAATATAACATTATCATATTTTTATTCTCTGGAAAATGTGCATCAGCCGTGATTGTAGAAAGAACACATAAATACATTTATTATAAATCGTCGAGTGGTTGTGTGCCGATCGTGTGGGAGGGAAGAAATAATTTACAACGAAAACAGTTGTCGACGTACTTTGTGAATTTACGCCCAGAGACTAATAAACTTGCAGCAGTTTCGAGGCGCGAATTCTTATCGCGAAAAGACGGATAATAATATGTAAATTGATTTTTTTCATAGCGTACAACAATCGCTTTTTCGAATGACTTAAGTGATTTCGAAAAAAAAATGTCAAAAAAGTCGTATTTATTATTTTTTTAAGTCTGTATTATAAATATTTGTCACACGTACATGTTATAATTTTATCATTATTTGTTTTGATGATAAGTTTTGACTTTCTATCCGAGTTTTCATTGTTGTTTACATTTTAGTATTTCAGTACTTAAATATCGACAATTTTTTAAACGATTTTGATCCAGTGCATACACAATTCAAATACGCGCCTTAAAAGTGTTTTAAGACTTAGACAATTACCAATAAACGATATAAACTTTTTCTCTTCAAGTATGTCAGAATTTTCAGAAAATAATATAAAATTAGACTGATCTAGTGAAAATAAAAATTAATCACAATACAATATGACACGGTATTGTAGTGAAAATTATACGTATATCGGCGGTGTATTATTTACGCCTATTGTTACGAAAATCCTTACATAATAATTGCATAAAATATTATGAATCGGCGTCATATTATAACGATATCAGGAAATACCGCGCGTGTAGGCGGAGAGGATTCTCGCGAGTTAGAATCGAACGGGACCGACAAAACTCCCCGCTAGTTGGGGCAGACTTAGAGAAAATTCGCGAAAATACATCAGACCGCATTGCTCTGCAACCGCCCTTTTCCACCAAACGCCCGTTGACCTCTGCCGCATAACCGCGAAGCCGCCAGCGCCAATGTTATTTATTGTTGTCGTATATTATAATAAAATACAAACGTGCAGGTATTATACACGTAGCTGTATACTGTTGCAGCAGCATTTCTGTCCTTGTGTAGACACATATACAACGATTAACTGTGACACAGTTCGGAAAATGTTTGTTGGATATGATTTACCTGAGTGTGAAACACTGCTGACTCAAAAATACAACTATTCCGGATGTAATTATCCGATGTAATATTATTTACTGCATAATATAATATGTATATGAAACTCACGATTTGTGCAATTTGTCTAGTCGATTATAATTTTTATCATGGAAACCTGGAATTTACTGTCCAATTAAAAAGTTTTCGCGACCTCTGTTCAAAAATTGAATTCATGTTATTTTATCGAAGTAACGAGTTCGCGTGTTTGATTTCGAAATAAAATTATACTTAGAAAACAAATATTTTGAAAATTTAGTACAAAATTCTGTAGTAACGAGTAAATATGATGGGTATTAGGAATTGGTTTGTTAGAAACTGGTTAATAATAAATAGTATGCTTTGCGCTTCTTTGATGCCTATCGGGAAGACTTATTTAGAATATTTGCGTTGTTTCAAAATTATTTTAAAATAATATGTTAACCGACGTTGGTTACAATGCTAGAATTTAGGTAACCGGAAAATACCACATAGGTATCCAAAAAAGTTGATAAGTAAAATTTTTAGTTAATCGTATTATATTCGCATACTGTTTTATGTACATAATACAATATAATATATCTGTTTTGAAATATTTAATAATTTTAGATATTTTTAATATTACAATCACAACTAAATTAAGTGCAAAGTTTGTGGGTTCGACAAACCGTTTTGTTAAAATATCATACAAAACTATAACGATAATTATTTGTCTCATTATTTTTTATGTTTGTAATATCACACGATTGTGTATTTAGTAAATGTATTCAATAGATACCGACATAAAAGATATAGTTTTTTATCTCAAATTTAATATTATATATAATAATAATATTTTATTCAAATTATCACACGAGAATATTCTTCCGTTTTGTGATGAATACAGCTAATAAAAATGACAATTAATTGTGTCGAGTGCAACGCCCAACTCAATGCTATACGAGTAGGTGAACACAATTAAAAATTAAACTATAAATTTTGGATTAAAGGCAACATAATATTTGTATTCTTTTCAAACGATATTGTTTTAATTTATAGTTAAACAAATAAATTATACTAAGTATTTTTAAATTAAAAATAAATATGAGGTAATATAATATACAGTATAGGATTCGATTTAATATTTTTTGCTCACTTCGTTGTACAATATTGATATTCACTTATAACATAGATGTACACAACGCGAGGCGTTTGTGGGTTACGTGTTATGCATTACTGATCTCTAACGTTTTTCATTGATGGCACAACGGCTGCAGCTGTGGCTTGTCTAGGCAGCACGTCGGCACTAAAACGGGTCTGTATCATAATAGGAAAACGTCTAAACCAACTACGAGCACGTCATCGTGGCCGTCATCTTTAGCGCTTATCGT